CACCCACCACCCACAGCCCCTGGGCTCCAATGCACACTCGTGGGCACTGGGAAGCAGCACCCAGCCCTCGCCCCGGGGTGTCCAGGAGGGAGCGGCAGGATGCAGGCAGAACGGCGGCAGGCAGAACGGCGGCAGGCATCTGCCTGGGACGAGCAGCTACAGAGAACGGACGCAGCCCGCGCTGGGCACACAAGCGAAATGCTGCTGCTCTTCGCCTCGGCGCAGGGCTTCCAATGCAGGGTTCCCCCCCCCCCAGGAGGGGTTCATGGTAAGCCTAAATAGACGCCCACAGCAACGCACACTAGAGCGAGTTTCTCTAGTAAACATAAACTTTATTTCATTCAAGGCAAAGCTAACTAAACCTCTACAGTGCAAAAATGTGCTGTAAGTCATCACACAGCATGTTGTGCACATCCTGTGTTTATTCGCAGGTATCTCCGACATGTATTTATACATGCTTATACACATACGTGTCTGTCGCAGCACGCACCTCCGGCAGGGCCTTCTGCCCCGCATGCCCCGGAAAGCCTCTGCAGACCCCCCAAAGCCCTTGTGACAGCAGGGACCCCGCAGGAGCTGGCGCAAGCTCCCAAGCCAGCCCGCTCCCCCAGAGCCCCCCGCGCTGCGTACAGCACCTGCACACATATGCATATAGGGAGAGTTACATTTCAAAAACTGGTTATGTTGACTTTTTCCATCAAGCCAGAGGAGTAATCCATGCATAGTACAGCATTGCATATCCTGTGGTAAGTGGAACTGTGTCCAGATACCGTCTAAAAAAGGCGAACAGGTTAGGACAGCTAAAAATAGTTCTTTAAAAAAATCCCTTCCCTCACTGTCCTCTCCCACGGGAGGTCTCCTCCAAGGATGGGCTAGGGGGTCTCTTGGGGCAACTGGGAGGTCTCACGCCTTCCTGCCCAGACTCTCATGCGTGACCATGGTTTGTTAACAATACTTTGCATTTACAGAGTGCCTTTCGCCCCAGGATCTCAGAGCACTTTGCAAAGCGATGCAGGGAGCCTCACACCTCCTGTGAGGTAGGTCAGATTTACTGTCCCCAGTTTACAGCTGGGGAAACTGAAGCACAGAGAAGTCCAGTGATTTGCCTGAGGGTCCCACGGATCCTCAGAGAGGGGACCGGGATCCCAGGGACCTGACTCCCACTCGCCCATCTAACCAGCAGCCAAGGAAACCTGCCTGGGGTCAGGTGCCTGTACCTGTCTCCTGTCCCAAATGCAGGGCCCTGCTCCAGTGGGTGCCCCTGAGCCCAGCCCAGGTGCAGCCAGCCGGCTGTGCACCCGGGCAAAGGCTGCAAGGTGCTCTCCGTACCACCGCCCCCACAAGCGGGCAGGTGGGGTCCAACCTCTCCCACAACAGTCTCCAGAGAAGGCAGCACCTTTCCTTGTTTGCCTTGCCCACCAAATCCTTGCCTGCTTTCCACTCCGGCCCCTCTGTCAGGGTGCAAGCCCCCCCAGCCAGGGAAGTCAGGGCTCAGCTTTGATTCCCAATTTCGAGTGGGGACGGGGGAGCTGCCTGTCCTGCAGCTTCAATGGCAGACACCCACAAATAAAGGAGAAAAAAGGAACAAATCACATTGTAAAGGACATTATCAACTTCAGTTGTAGGATCAACTCATTCCCTTCATGTCTCATGTCCTGCTACAGCCCCTGGGAAGCGGGCTGGGATGCCCGAGTCCCCGCTGCAGGTACCCTTTGCAGAGACCCTCTGGCTTTCTGTGGCACCCCTCATCCGAGGATCTCAAAGACTTTACAAATGTTAGCCAAGGAAGCCTCACAACAACCCCTGTGAGGTAGAGCAGTATTATTATCCCCATTTTACAGATGGGGAAACTGAGGCACGGAGAAGCAGAGCGACTTGCCCAAGGTCACCCAGCGGGCCAGCAGCAGGCCTGGGAGCAGGCTGGCGCAGCCCTAGCCCGGCTCTCCTCGCCAGGGCTTGACTGTGCTCCCTCCCTGCATGGTGGATGGAGTGCCACAGTTTTCCTCAGGTGAAAGGGAAATGCAATCAGCCGTTTTCCCACTGGAGTCTAATATAAAAAATATCCACGTAACGAGTTAAGCCTTGGCGAGCCAGCATCAAAAGCATCGCTGCTCTGAGTGCCGAGCTTTAAAAAGAGGGGAGGAGGAGTAAGAGCAGCAGCAGCACAAACCTAGGGAGTGCCTCCCGAGAAGGCTGGCTGGAGGAAAAGCCCCCCGCTGCCCCCGGGGGATGGCCTACGCAGGGGCAAAGCGAGTGTGAAACGTCAAGCTTCACCCTGCCATGCTCCTGCTGCGGGCCAGCAGCGACCCCGGGACACGGCCAGCCCCGGCCGCTGGTCCCCCCAGCCCTGCCACGGGAGGAACCGAGGCACCTGGGGGCCAGCCTGCCCCGCGGGAGCACGGCGCCCAGCCCCTGCTGGGAAGAGATGACAGCCCTGACAGCAACGGGCCTTTCACTGATTTGGTTCTCAAGTGTGCTTAACAGGAGAGCTGAAGCCAAGCCCTGTCGCAACAGCCCTGCTTCCTCCCTTCCTCCCACGCTTGCCTCAGGTGCTGGACCCATGAGAAATGCAGCGAAGGCAGGAGCCTCTATCTCTACGGCGAGTTTTGTGCATCCTTGCTCTGCTCCAGAAACCTTCTGCATGAGGCCGGCTTCCCTCCTGCCTGCTCCAGCTCGGCATCGCCAGAGTTGGATGAGAAGCCCCAAGCTCCTCGCAGCCTCTACCCCCCAGGCACGCTGGGATCTCGGCCACCCACCACCCCGCACCACCGGGAGCGCACTGAACACGGCACAGCACCCACCTGGCTGCAGACCAGGGTACTCCCCAGCACCCGGCCCCTTCCCTGCCTGCCCGGCACCCTCTTGCCTTCACTCAGAGCGGAGCAGGCGGCTCCCTCTGTCCCAGCAGCATCCCAGTCCGAGTCCGCAAGAGCTCCCAGTCCCCACGGCAGCCGAAGTCTTTTCCGAGAAGCAGTGCAGGTTGCAGGCACGTGTGTAATAGAAACATGTCTCAAGCGTTTGGAAAGAAAACAAAAGGGAAAGGCTTGTCCCCCTGCCCACCCTCCCACGCTGCCGGGCGGGCTGGGGCTCGGGGCGCCGTTGCTTCATGCCTTTGGTGGTGCTTTTTGTTCCGCCTTGGAGCCGGCCAGGCCATTCTCGGTGTTGTCGTTCCCTGACGAGCTCACAAGACACTCCTTCCTGGAGGAGAGCACATGGCCAGCTGACAGCCCCCAGCACCCCCCAGCCCCTCTTGCCACGACCCCGGCCCCATGCAGCCCTGCCCCACGGCAGCACCCACCCAAGGGTGCCGGGACCGGCACCCGCACTCACTTCCCATCTTGAGTCTTCTTGATGATGAACAGGACAACCCTCTTGATGAGCATGAAGAGGATGAGGAGGCCGATGAGCCCCCCCACAACGCCCACGATGATGAGCGTCACAGTGTTGTCTGCCTCCACCACTGCAGGAGAGAAGGTGCTGAGGGGCCTCGGGAGGGGAGCAGGGAGCTCCCAGCTGCATGGCCCCCCCAAGAAAAGCAGCAAAACCCTCCACCAGTCACCGGCCCACAGCACGGAGGGGCACGAGGCCACGCCTTGCCCTTCAGGGATGCCAACTCTCTCCAGGAAGCCAGGAGACCCCGTGCACTGCCACAACCGTGAGCCAAGGTGGGGTCAGCCTGGCTTTGCATCCCCACCGCCCCAGTGCCGCTTGTGGGGCACGGGACCCCCGGCTGGCACTTACTCTGCTGGACCACCGTGAGGAAGATGGTGGCGTTGTGCTGCGCGTTCTTCTCCTTGGGGTTCCTGACGTGGCAGGTGTATTTCCCAGCATCGCTGAACTCCACATTCTTCAGGACGATGGAGATGTTGTTGTCCTTCCCGGTCGTCGAGCCGACGAACTCGACCCGTGGGTTGCGTCCCACAAGGAAGGGTTCCGAGGCTTTGCTCTTTATCTTGCCGTGGTAAATCTGCAGAGGCAGGGATGCAGGATGCGGGGTCAGCTGGGCTCCCGACAACCCCAGGTGACAGAAAGGCTCAAGTTCTCCCTCCGGTGCCCTGCCCCACCTCTGCATGCACAGATACGCACGGCCAAGCGTCCCGGCACACCCCATTAAAGCAGGAATGGCCGTGGAGGGGGACCCGATGCACAGCCCGCTGGGAAGCAACAGATCAATCTCACTTGCCCTGCAGCAACGTTACAGACCGCTCAAAAGATGGGAGAACCCCAGGGCAAAGACAATCTCTTTGCTCTAGGGTCATCCAGGGCTGGCCAGCCTGCGAGGACAGACCTGCTCTAAACCAGCCCTCCTGCTACGGAGTTGAAGAGCAGAATATTCCTAGCAGGAAGCAAATCTATACCTTTAGTATTTCAGAGCAAGCGCAGGAGGAGAAAATTAACCATATTCTGCCCGAAGTGCAACCTTGCACCTGAACAGCCAATTTATGACCAATTTATGAAAAGAAATGAGCCTGTGGAGAGCAGAAATTCCAGAACAGCTCTGTGCCAAAAGGACAGATGTGCCAGGGTATTTGAGTCACCCTGTTTGCACAGCCCCGTCCCCCCAGAGCTGGAGAGACACTCAGAGGGACGGGCATCCTGCAAGAGGGGAAAGGGAACTCCTTGAGAACTGCATTGCTGGTCTGCACTGTGAAAGTACAAAAGGACCTGCCAGGAAAACAGAGGCAAAGCCCAGAGAGGCACCCACCATCTCTGTCGAGTTGAAATACCATGTGAAGACCAGGTCCTGAAAGCCTATGCAGGTGGTGAAGGTGCAGGGCAGCAGGACATTGGAGTTATTCAGAGCCATCACAGTGTTGGTCTTCCCCACCGACACCTCCAAGGCGAAGGCGATGGCGAAGACATGCAAACCTGGCGGGGAGAGGGGAAGAGAGAGTGAGGACACAGCGCTGGTACGCAGCCCAGCCTGGTGCAGCCCAGTCCTTCCCAGGGCTGTGATGCAGCCCAGCCTGCTGCAGGGCTCTGCTGCAGACGTGCACCCTCGGGGCAGATGGAGCAGGGAGAAGAAAGGTGCGTCGGAGGGACCACTTCTCCCCCCCTACAGCCCGACCTCTGGCTGGAGCATCAGCCGCAGTGGGGATCCCCTCCCAGGGAGCATGTGGAAGGCAGCGGGACTCAGCCATCGCTCCCGCTAGGTCCCGCTCCCAGCTCTGCCAGGGGCCCACGGCATCCTCCTCCTCCCCGCAGCCTCAGCACAGGGGGCACGAGCCCCGCTCTCCTCCCCTCCCAGAGCCCAGGGATGGGTTTGTTACCCCTTGTCCCCTTTGGCACGGCAGGCTGCCATGGCAGGAGCAAACATGCCTGTCCCTGGCCTCAGGACAGTTCGGCAGAGATAGGAGACCTGCTCCTGGAGGAAGGGCAAGGGCTGGCTGGCACCCCCAGAGACAGCGTGGATTCAAAGGGAACCATAATATTACCACGAATAAAGTATGCAAATAAAAGCCCTGATTTGCATGTTATCCACAAGGCCTTTAGCTAAACATTAAAGGGGGGAAAAAAAGCCCAAAGCGAAGCAGAGCTCTCTGTTCTTCAAGCAGCGAGTTTGAGCACTAATTAGCATTGCTGCTCTGGACGCCTGCCACTCCGCCCGTCCCCCACCCCAGCCACGGGCTCTCTCTCGGCGAGCCAGCACAGCAGGCTCCTTCCAGCGCCCGTGCAGACCTCCGGAGCGGCACCCCCTCACGCCTGCCTTGCAGAGAGCTTCACCTCCCACTGTAGCTGGCAGATGACCTTCAAATTGCAGAACGTAGCTCTCCCGCTCCTCTCCTCCCCGTTAGCAGGTAGAAATGCATCGAGGAGCAGGTATGAGCCCAGCTGCAAGAGCTGAGGGCATGCCTGAAAGCTCCCAGGGTCCCACGCAGGGGACTGACATTGCACCCCTGTGCACCAGGCTGGGCCAGCAGCGTCCACACGAACCCTCTCCCGGGGGCACAGGGATGCTTTGCTTCAGGCCAGGGGAGCGGCCCCGCTCCCCATCCCCATCGCACCGGGGCCTCGTCCCGCTTGTATGACGTGCTATGGCCAAGATGTGATACAACCCAGCAAAGCATTGTCCTCCCCTTTCCTAGACCTCAGCCACCAAAGGGACCCAGCCATCCCTACAAAGCTTTCCCTGGGCACTCCGACGACCAAAATACAGCGGGGACAGCTCCTCCCAGAGCTACAAGCTGGTCCCCAGCTCCACCGACGCCTTAACTTGGACACCCTGCCCTCAGCTTCAGATTCGAGTCTTTGCAGCCGCTTCAGCTGCTGATTTATTCTCCCACACGTGCCCGTGCTAACAACTCCCCCAGCACGTCGCAGCCCAAGCCAAGCCTGAGAGCCCTGCATCCTGGGCTTCGGGCCCTGCTGCAGTGCTGCATTGCAAGCACTGCAGGGAAGGAGTTACTTAACTTTACAAAGAAGCACTTTTCATTTTGCTTGAGAGGCTTTAGCTAACGTCAGGGAGTGGTTCCCACCAGATGGAGGTCTCCTGCAGTTGTCAGGCTCAAAGACCAGCCCTGGGGATGCTACAGAGCGGACTTCACAGCCGGGAGCATCCCGGGGGAATCATGCTGCTACCTGGAGTAAGGCTTAGCGGAGGGATGCCTGGCTCTGCAGGTATGCCTGAGCAGGCACGGTGCTGCAAGGGGACAGTTACTTACAGGAAAGACGATTCCTTGCAGCTTGTAACACTTTTAATCCTGTCTGCCACCGTTATAATGTCATGAACGTAATCTGAATTGAATGTGTGGAGTAAATGGACGCTGATCTTGTTCCTGTCATGCTGTGGTCTCAGGAAGACAGTGATATGTTACCGCTAAATAAAGCACAGAGGAAAACATGTTGGGAGGCTGGGAGACTACTGACTGAACCTGCCACACTAGTTGCCACCATTACATTTCCGTATGGCCAAAGCTGCTGCACTTTGTGCCACCAGAGCCCCAACATTCAGGGTGCAGGGCAAGCCCCTCCTGGGGGCTCCAGGCTACCTCCCATGCTTGCAGACACAAGCTTTCCCCAAGAGACAGGGAAAGGGGACCAGGGAGCAGCCACTCTTGCTGCTGCCAGAGCCTTGGCTGCCTGCTCTTTGCTCTTGCAGAGGGTGAGCACCTGGGCCAAGCCCCGTAATGAGGGGTCCCAGAGCCACCGAGCTACGTGCAGTAGTGCTGGGTGTGCAACCCAGGACCCAGCCCCAGCGACAGCAGCGATAGCCCTCCAACCCAGGCCAGGGCAAGCCTTTCCCCCCCATGGGCTGCTGGCAGCCCCCTGCTTTTCCTGCAGCCCATCAGGAACCCGGTCTGGGAACCACTGCCCCAATGGAAAGGGCACACGGGATTCACCTGAAAAGCCACGGGATGCCCCCACCTTCTGCGAGAAAGCTGCTCCATAAAAACTTTCATTGCCCATGAAAATCAATGTGACCTCCCGGCACAGACAGCAAGCCATGCCTGGCGGGCTGGCCAGGCTCCTCTCCACCGAGGTTAGAAGGGAGGAGCTCCCAGGCCACCCTGAGCCCAGGAACGATGTGCTCTGGCACAAGACACCTGGGCCTCGCCCTTCCTGCAGGCACCGATGGAAGAGGCTGTGCTGTGCCTCCCTGGTGCAGCCAGGAGCCCACTGCCGCTCCCTGCAGAGCACGGCATCCCCGAAACGCACAGACCCAGAGAGACCTGCCCAGAAACCCTCCCCTTCCCACCTCCCCCTCCAGGCTCCCAGCCCACCTGAGCGACCTGTGGGACAAGGTTCCCACCCCCGCGCCCTGGACCCCAGACCCCCAAGTGCCCTAGTCTCCAGCGTCTCCGAGTCTCTCCTACCACCCCACTGCCAGCCCCCATGCTGAAAGCAGCTTGCACTGCATCTGTCTGGGGAGGCGCCTTCAACCAGGGACCAGCACCCAAATCCTGCAGGGAGTCAGGTACTTACATGTCTTTTCGTGTCTCCAGCTCACTTAAAACAAACTTAAGAACTATGCCCTCTAAAACGCCTCTCAAGGGAGTTTCCCAACAGCAAGCGCTGCAAAGGCAGCCCTTGGTTTCAGGCTCTCTCTGCCCGTCGACACAAGGATGACCTACACAAGCAGAAGTGTAGCCAGTGCGTGAGGGCTGATGCAGGTGGCTTGGAACCAGCGCCAGGGGCTGCAGCGGGGAGGGGAGGGGTGCAAACTCCTTCCTCCACCCTGCAGCTGGGGGATCTCAGGCATCCCCGGACACAGGTCTGGGCGTCATGCTCCAAGCAGCGGCCCTGCAGTATGGGTTCATCCGTGCGCTGGGGAGAAGCGCATGCAGATGGTCGTTTTACGAAATGAACTGTAAAAAGAATGACCTGTCGGCGGGCGTGCTGGCGGCTGCGTTGAAGCAGTGCATTGCTTCCCTACGGCTATTTCCCTGGTTCACGTTAGCAGGCAGGTAGCAGTGGTCCCTGCTCGCAGAGCAGCAGAGCGGTGCAGGGCAAAGCGGGATGCAGCCGCAGTGCTCACAGAAGAAAGCTCTGGCGATGTGAGCGACTGATGCAGGCAGGGCAGGGGGCTGGAGCCAGGACTTCAGAGTCCGCGCTCGGACTCGGCTGCGAAGTCACCTTGGACAAGTCACTTATCCTCAGTGCTTCGGACTCTCCGTCTGCAGAGCAGAGATAATTGCATTAGCGCCCGTGGACGGGGAATTTATCCGAGCAGCAGCAGCGTCCGATTCCTCGCGGTGCAGGCAGGCCAGATGCAAAGCAGCCGAGCGCGAAGGGAGGGCGACTCGGCGAGGGTCACCCCG